GTGGGATATTAATGCAGGGCTTCCCATGGCAGATATGCTGGAAAACTTGGATGAATTAGAATTCAAGTCTGTCTTAAATATTAAGTGCATTTAGATAAGTTTTAACCTTCAAGTCTTTTAAGATAATTATAATGGAAAGTAATACTTTCTACACAATATGGGATTTCATTTGCTAAAAGTGTTCATGGAGCTCTTTCTGAAGATTGTTGGAGTATTTTAGGTAAAATGGCAAACATATTATTTTAAATAGAAAGCTTATGTGCTATTCACCATGTTTCATGCTTAGAAATTGGCAGAAGCCAGTCAGAAAATTAATGTTTTTATAGCTATATTTGTTTGCAAGGGGATTAGGTCTAATGGGTTGCCTAAGATTTAGCTGCCTTAATTTGAAACATTATTTCCCCACAAGCAGAAGCACAGTACTTTTCTCTTGGTTATTACACTTCATGGTCAAATATATCAGCCTAAGCCCTTTATGATAAAGTCAGTATACAAATTCTTCTAATATCACTGCTGCAGGGTGCTGCTCTCCAAAGCCAGACTGAGGCAGATATCTGGGGAAAGTAATACCTCTAGCTGGTGTAGTTACCTCCAAGAGAGCACATCTGCCAAGAAAAAGATAGTTTGCCTACAGAGTCACAGGGGCCCCCTGTATTTCTTGGTTTGGGGCAAAGTGACAAAAGCATAAATTATGATTTGTGTCCAAAGTCGGAGTCTTGGAGGAGCAGAGATTTTGACTCTTACGGGCCCTCTGATAGAAAAGCAGAGGTGAAAATATTCCCTTTTCTGATCTCTGAAATCAGACTAATCAGCTATGTCACTCTATAAACTAGGAGATGACACTTTCTGAAATTTACCTTTCTGTCACAGGTAGGGACCAACAGGGTTAGATATAAACATATCTACCCTATAGCTGGGGGATAAAAAAGTAGGTACTATTGGACTGGATAGAAAGCCAGTAATAAATATGCATGCGGTTTCATGCAGGAAATAATCACTTTGCTTTTTACAATGCCCATGGAAAACAATAGTTTTTTAATATTGTCTATCTACATGATTTATATTTCATGCTAGTTCACAAAGGACTCTGGTTAGTATGTGATTTATGGTTGGAGCAAAATAATTGTCTGAAGCCTAGCTGAAGGTAGGCTTTCAACACATTAATAATACATTAGCTAATGTTTCTTTCCTGCCATTGCCTATGCAAATTTCTATAAATGACTGTTTATTTTAGATTGGAAACAGCTTTAGGTGAGAATATGCTTTTTATCAGGTGTCTTGAATAAATACTGCCATTCTTTGATAAACTTTTAACCAGAGATTTTCCTTTGGTCTCAGCTGGTATTTGGTCAGGGAAGTAGAGGGAGAAAGAGCTAGAAATTGAGAGGAGCTCTCTTTGGCAAGTGTGGTAAAAGTCCACCCTGGCTGGAAACGTCAAACACTGAAAACCATCACTGGAAAATGATTCATGAATGTGAATCATTCACAAACAGTGGACATATAATTTCAGATTTAAAATACATACTGCCTAAATTTGTTCATTTTGACAAGTAAGCACAGGTGAAGATAATTTCATTCAAATTAATTACTTTCTGTCAGAGGCAAACAGCAATACATATTGTCTGTCCAAAATAGTATTAGATTTGATTGCACTTATGTTAGGTAGATCAGAAATTAACTTCTCTGCTTGAAATAATTTGTGCCTTGATTACCTGCTGAATAATTTCCCTTTCCAAACGACGATTTCACACCAGCAGCCATATAAAAAAACATCATATTTTTGCAAATATATAAGATATTTACTCAGAAGGAATCATACTCGGTCTTCCCTGACACTGCCCACTGAGTTTCTGAGACCATTTGACTTCCTGAGGTTTCTGAAGAGATGGAGCATTTGGCGTGACTGCTTTGAGTAATCTTCCTTTGTAAGTTGTGACTTTCTCAGCAAATAGAATGCATGCATGTAATGTGAGCACAAGAGTATTTTTGTGGGGAAGTAACAACACAGTTTGTCTGTATTCCTGTGATTCAGAGTGGCCTTGCTATGCATTTGTGCCCCAAGCTGCCCATGGGACTCATATGCAGATGAATATTTGATTATTCTGTCTGGTGCTATACAAAGCAGCTGAAAATAAATACCAGACTGATCATTTTATAAGTTCAGGCTGGCTAATTTACACTCTGGAGACTGTAGAATGAAAATGCTTTGTATTTTACACATATTTTCCTTATCCTTTATTGTATTTTTGCTATATTTTGTTGTAATAAAACAAGTAATAATGATGCAACTCATATATGGATTTTAAAGAAAAATACAGAGGCAATAATAAATAATTGGAGAAAAATTGGTTGAAAAATACTATTAGCTACATTATTATTATAAATCAAAAGAATTTTCCAGTTTTGCTATGTGATAAAACAATATACTTAAGAATAAATGTATGATTAGCTTTGGAAATATAGCACCACCTTCAATTTCATTGGCAAGAAATTTTCCACTGTAGAGTTCTGACAAGACATGCATGTTAGGGAGGTGACACAAATTCTGTTGTATCTGTACTGTAGGAATTGGAAAACTAAAGAGTGCCCCAGAATGCTGTGTGTTGTGAAATTGCTTCTCTTTCTGAATGATAAACAGAGCAACCATTAAAAAAAATATTGCATTAATTCTATCTCTGTTTGAGAATACATATAACTTTTTTCAGATCCTACAAGTCTGTTTTTGTGTAGCTGAAAGGTGGTGAAGAGGGATCAGGGACTGCATGTGAAACCAGTTCTACAAACTTACAAATCATTCAGGGTTAATCTGTAAGGAAAATGTCTTTTTGTCAGTTAATTGAATAGGATTATGTACTTTTCTGGTTGGCAATTGAAAGGAAATGTTCCTCTCCTTTTTGATCCTTCAAGAGCTTTCTGTACTTTAAACAATCACTAGCTTCATCTTGAACAAAGCTTTTGTTTAATATGTGGTGAGGTGTCTTGAAAGAAGTCTCTCGCAGGCATATCACAGTTTTCTCTCTAAAAATCACTGAATATTCTGACTTGATATATCTTTAAAAAAGAAATTAGGAAGGAAGTAATATTCTGCCCAAAAGTAGGAGTTCAGACTCATCCTTTTGACATTTCACTAGAAATGCCAAGGAAGCCAGAATTATACATAGGCTAAGTATTTTTCTCTTTTCCTTCAGATGACCATATCTTTTATTAAAAACTGTGTAATTATATAGAAGTTTTTGTTTGGATAAAAATAATGCAGAACCTCAATTCCTAGGTGTTGTTCCAAAATTTGGATAATTGGGAACTGAGCTGCTAGAAAATAAATGGATAGGTAAACTTCCATGTGCTTCATTAATTGCTATTCAATTAAGGAAAAAAAGATTGGGAACAATAATAAGGGTTATTCTCAGAAAAGGGAATTCTCTTGGCATAGTCCTGTAATTTTCACACTCATTAGACTTGAATGCAAAGCTAAAAGCAGTCAATGAAGATGCAAGATCATGATATTAAGATTCTGCTTTGTTTTGTTTTGGTTTTTTTTTTTAATGGGATACCCTACCCAGCTGATAGCGGAGTAGCAAAAATAATTTTGTACCCAGTAGTACCCTTTGGGTACTGAATGATTACTACAAGGTCACCCAGAAGCCTTCTCTTCTCCAGGCTGAACAACCCCAACTGTCTCAGCCTTTCCTCATAGGAGAGATTTTCCAACCCTCTGATTGTGTTCATGGCCCTCCTCTGGTCTGTCTCTAACAGGTCCTTGTCTTTTCCATGCTAAGGGCTCCAGAGCTCAATGCAGTCCTCCAGGTAGTTTTAAAAAGTTACAAAGTTTTTCCTTATAATTCCATCACCGAAGTACTGTAATAATTTTTCTAGATTGTATATTTCCTATTTGCTTCAAGGCTAATCTCTAATGTTGTCTGTTGATTTTGAAAATCAGAAATAAATCCAACAAACTTTCAACTACAGAATTACGTTCCATCACCCCAGCCTTCAGCACATTACATACTGCAAATTCCTGTTTCAGAAAACTTCAGGGCAATGGTGCAGTAGAATGTAGATATCTAGCAAAAGAGTACATGAAGCTTTTGGTAAGCTTATCATACCAATCAAACTTTTTCCACTGAAGGTGTTGAGTACAATTTTATGTAAAAATAGTCATGCACTATCTTGCCAATCCCATATATCTGTAGTTTTTCTTTCTCAAGCAGCTTGGGTCCATTCTTGTCCATATCTACTTTACATGTAACTAAATCAAACACAATTTCTTCAGGTTTTTATCCCTTCTTAATGTCTCCTAAACATTACACTTTCTTCAGAAGTCATTCTTCTGCTAGGCCCACCTCAGTGAGCAGTAATTGAACACATGGTCATCACTCCGGAGAGCACAGAAAGCTTATGTATGACAACTGATTTTTCAAGTTCAGATGGACTTGTGCGTTTTTGGTTCTTTTTTTTTTTTTTTTTTTCTTCCTTCACTTCTGTAGCTTAGACATTGTTTCATTAAGTTTGCTGTACGGACACAACAGTTCCGCGTTTGCTGATGGGCGTCTACGCGGCTTGCGGAATGCACGAGGCTGAGAGATGCCCTCCCGGGCCGTGTTTCCGAAGGGATTTGCCACCGGAGCCGGGGATGCCGCGGCCGCAGCCTGGAGAAAAGTGGGCAAAACCGGGGCGGCCGAGGAGAGCACCCGCCCTGTGCCCCGTGCCATGCCCGAGCTCCGCCGGGCCGAGGCGCCCCGCTCCCCCTCCGCGGGGCCCCGGCGGCGGGCGGAGGGCAGCGCCGCGCTGGGGGCGGCTCCGCGGCCGCGGCGCCGGGGGCGGTGTCCCCGCTCCGCCCCGCCCCGCCCGCCGCACCGCCCGCTCCCGGCCGTAGGCGCGGGCAGCCGCGAAGCCGCCGCCGGGCGGAGCGGTGCGGAGCGGATCGGGGCTGGGCTGGGCGTGGGGCGGCGGCGGCGGAGCGGGGCAGCGAGGGGCCGGCGGAGAGCGGAGCGGGGCGGAGCGGCCGCCACCCGCCCGGCGGAGCGGAGCGGAGCAGCCGCGGGAGGAGCGGGGCGCGGGCGGAGCGGAGTGCGGCGGCTGCCGCTGCCTGGATGCCAGAAGCGCCTCTGGAGCCAGCGGCCGGCGGCACCTGGGAGGGCCCGGGAGAGGAGGAGGAGGAGGCGACGGCGGCGGAGGAGGAGGACTCCGGGCGCGGAGGGGAGGAAGCAGGCAGCGTTTGCCATGGCCTCCAACTTTAACGATATAGTCAAGCAGGGCTACGTAAAAATCCGCAGCAGGAAGCTGGGGGTGAGTTCTTTATCCCTTCGCCTGCCCTGCCCGGGTGGGAGCGAGGCGCTGGGTATCGCATGGGCGGCCTGGGGGGCGGCGGTGCCCCGGGCCGGGGCCGCCAGCGTGGGGCGCGGCGACCTGCTGCTGCTGCTGCTGCTGGGGCTGCCTCTGGTGCTGCTAGCCTGGTGCTGCTGGTGCTTCTGCTGGTGCCGCTGCCGGGGCTTGGACTTCGCTCCCGGCTCCGGAGGAGTCGGTGGGGGTGTGTAGCTGTCGCGCCTCGGGGAGAGCTGGCTGATCCCATCTCCGGGAAGGCGCCGCTCCTCCCTTCTGTCTCAGCGATCGCCCGCCAGGGTCACTGTCCGCAAAGAGCTGCGCCCGGTGCCCCTGTCTTCCTCGAGTCCCCCAGCACAGCGCTGACACTCCCCTTTGGCCGTCCCTGCGCTCCTCTTTCTCTCGCCTTGCTGCCTCCGGCAAGGGCTTGGGTGGGGAGGGGAAAGCGCAAGCAGGAGCTGTAAACTTTGCTTACAGATTCTCCCTCTATCCTCCCATTTCGGAGAGGGATGTTTTCAATCAGGGCAGGGTCAGGAAACACTCTGCTGATACCGGAGTAACAGAGTAACAGAGAAGAGCAGGCGTGGAGGTGTGATGGTGCTCTGCCTTAGGGCACGGGGGATTGGGGAATGAGAGCCTGTGGCGGACCGGGGATGGACAGGAAGGCAGCGGGATGACAGCTTCATGAACCTAAAGGCAGATACAGAGGTTGACAGAGATTAAAACTACGGGCAATCTCTTAGGTGAGGGTGGCCGTTCGCAGTGCCCACCGGGATGCTCAGCGACACCGCATGTGCTATCAGATTGGCCGTGGGCACTTAACCTGAAGGGATGCAGCAAATTTTGAAAAGGCAGTGAAGTTGGAGCAGAGTGTATGCCGAGGTCAGGATTTTCTAAACTTCAGTTGGTCCCGGGAATCATCGGTTTGGACTGTCTCCTACACTTTATGAGAGAACAGGAATGCTTGCTTGCACAGCTACTGATATTGTCAGTAATCCTGAAAGGTCCAAATCCCTGTTGGCCTGAGGCTCAGAGGGAGTCTGAGGTTCTTTGTGTTCACTCTTCCAGTTTTCCTTTAAGTGTGCAGAAAAGTGCAGGGTCTCTACCAGCTCTTCCTTCCAGAGAGGTGGTCCCTGCTTCCCTTGAAACCTAACAGCAGGGACATGTGAAGTCTGCCCTCCTCCAAGTCGTGCTCTGTGAGCTTATCACAGTGCTAATATTTATCTCCTCCTCCCCCTCTCTCCCTTCCCCCCCCAGATGTTGTGCATTGCTCGCAGACACAGTGTGCATGATGGTGGGACACTAATCATGAATTGACCTTTGGAGCACTTTGATGACTTGACAGGGCTGTGAATTCCAAAAAAGCACAGGAAAGTTTGGTCCAAACCTTTAATAGCCTCAACTACAAATGTTTGAGAGATGGTGTAAATTCAAAGAGAATGGGTGCTCTTAGTAATGATTTTGCAACCCCAAAGTCACTCTGTGCATCAGTCAAGCATTAATCTTATCTGAAGAAGCAATTTCTAAGCCTCAGTTTGTTTCTGGCAGTCCTCTGCTTAACCTTTGCTCATCAGTTTTTCCCCTGCTCAGCACTGTTATTGGATGGGCCCAACACAAAGCAGAGATGATGGTATCCCATCACCTTGATGTTAGTGGTTGGAAGCAGAGTTAATCTATTTGCTTTGCAAATCTGGCTTTGGAGGCATCTCAAGTGTCCTTTAAGTGTGAAATTATGTATATGCATATCTCTGTGTATGCAAATACTTTTATATATCTATGTCTATGTCGTACGTGCAACAAATGTAGAGCTCATATCACACTAATCTTGGATGATACTTGCTGACCTGTGTAAAAAAAATTGTGAAGAGAGTGATATTTCATTGCAGAATATCTTATGTAGCTTGAATATTTTGTTTTGAAGATGTTATCTGATTTTTTAAGGGGGACACATAAAACTTTTTTTTGCATGGATGTTTTCCATGGTCATAATGATTATCGTGCCTCTACTCTAAGCAGAAGGGAAATAGTTCATATGGTGTCTGTGGAGGATTTTCTCCTACTGAAGTGTGTGAGGGTGACAATTCAGACTATACAGCCTCAGGCAGGTGGTAGTATAGGCTTAAATATGACATATGGAAATACACATCTGAATAAATCTATTAAATGCAAGTTAAAAGGGATTATGTTTTATAGAAAATGCCATCAAAATTCAAACAACTGTGATTCTTGAAAGGTATGAATATGTGTGTATATATCCATGGCTAATTGGATTCTTGTGACTGAATATCTAAATTAATGCAATTTTTATTCACTCAGTGAAATATTAAAGATTTGTCTTTTTTCCCCTTCTTGTCTGTCTCCAAGTCCGAACCTTAATGACTTACACTGGAGCCGTCATAATGTAGGTGAATACATCAGTTGTCAGGGATATAAATGTCTGCTAACAAATGAATATTTTTAACCTCCAAAAATGCAAAAATACTGAAAGAGGAAAGAGAGCTGTGGGTTCTGGAAACTGAGGCTAAGATAATTTTTAAATATGGCAATAGAATTTTATCTCTCGTTAGGTTTCATTCTTACACATTGCAAGTTACTGGGGTAGGTTTTTTTGGTCATAATAGTCTACATTCTTTGAATATTTTAAAGTCTCCTGAAAAGCAGATTGATTAAAACTTGGAGAGCTGAGGTGTCTAATACCAATTTTTGTGCTAGACTTGGGCAATAAAACTAATTCTAACCTTTAGGCTGGTAGCCAATTAATTATGGAAATTCTTCCAATTCAGCTTTTATTCTGTTTTGTTGTGTGACTGAGGGAGCCCTGGCTAGGAATCAAATGAAAGATACTTCATTGCTACTAGTATATTTTCATTTTATTGAAAAAACCCCACAACAGCAAGCTTTCATTTGGTGAGAACTTTCTGGTATAATTTACTTTTTAAAGAATTTAATTTACAGAAACCCGAGTAGTAAATCTTCATCTAATTGTAAAATAGAAGTCTTCATGGTTGATTTTTAACAAGGTACAATGTTTACTTCTGATTTTTTACACCTATACCTTGCTTTAAGTACTTGTTACCCTGTTTGACTATGCCCCACATACCTTCAAATGCTATTCATTGTATTCATGAAGTCAGGATTCAAGCTGTTTTCCCATCAGTAATTGATTCTGTTCAGAAAAGTGGTTTGAAGACAAAAATAATGCCTAAATCATGGAAATACGTGGCAAGAAGAACTGCAAAAATTTGTCCTTACTTTTTTGTTTAGTGATACCTGATCATTAACTTTTATTTTGCCTGCTTTTCACTGTAATCCTTATGTACTTGTTTACAGAAATTCATTAATAAGTAAATTGGATGGTATATTCTTCTGACAGTCTAGTATTTTCAAGTAGACCTCATTGTTCTGATACCTTTACGATGTTAAAGTTGTTGTAAGGTTGGATAGTCAGCTGAGGAGGTTTGCCAGCCTCTCTCTTGTTGTATTCTGACTCTGGGAATATCATGGTTTCTGCCATGGAGATATCAGGCCACAGAGAGACATCCGGCCAGTCTGACCACTTACTCTGTCTCATTACTTTTGTTAGGCATGTACTGTACATGAAACTTTTCTCTGGTGCCTTGAAATGTCAAATATATGTTCAAGGCTGTGCAGTAGGTGAGGTCATGTGTATCTGTCATGTCTTCATTAAGGTATCATGGTGTCTTTGAAAATTAGAAACTGTAGTCATTGGGGATGACTGTAATTAAAAGATCTTTTATAAAATCTGTTTCCCTGCAGCCTAAATATGCCTTTCTTTTCAATGCCCTGGCATTCCCACATTGTTTGATATTTTGGTTTTCCCTAATACTACATAAAGGAAATACTCATTCCAGCAGCCATTACATTTGATCTGTGTGACCCTTCTTTGAAATAAATTTGATTGTAATGTGGTGTGCTGTTCAGATCAGAATAGGTCATTTGTGTAGTGTGGAACAGGACTGTGCTGCCTTTGTTCTTTTGGAATCTTTCATACTTGTGTCACATTAAAATTCATATGACACAATTTTGTACTGCACTGGCTGTGCTTATAGGCTGAAACTTTCTTGTAGCAGATTGGAATCCCTTTGTTGCCTCCTAATAAACTGAGCTGTGAGGATTTAATGCCTTACTGAAATGCTGTTTCTTAGGAAAATGACCAATTTGATGTCACATTAGGAAGTCTAATTAAAAATGAACATTGCATCACTTTGATAGTGTTGTTTTGACCCATATCAACCTTAGAAGTCATAATCTCATTGTTTGTTTGTTTTTGTCTTTTTTTTTTTTTTTTGTCATGCCTCAGCCATAGAATGAAAGAATCCTGTCTCTTGGAAATTTTCACTCCGTTTGTTAATAATTACTAATTTTTCTGTGTTTCCACGTACTAAATGGAATTATTTTTTGGGTGCTTCAGTTTATACTCTCATACACCTATCTGAAGAGAAAATTGTATCTGCCAGTCAGTCTTGATAGAGTAATAAACAGTAGGTTGCTCTTAGTCACCAAATTAGAAGTTTTACCCTATAACCTTCCCCTATTTTTAACCATACTTTTTGATCATTACAGGTACCATTTCTGTAAATGAACACAGCATTTCTCCTTCTGCAGTTAACCCTGTCTTCAATCAATCAGGGCTAGCAATGCCATGAATGCAAACCACTGATTGCAGTATGGTTCCTTGTGAAATAATGCAGTATTTGTTTTACAAAACCGTAACATTCAATTGATATTGTGTGTATATGTTGGGTAAAGAAAGAAAAGGGACCTGCAAAATTTCTTGAGTTTGAGATTACATTGATTGATCGCACTGGCTCTGCAAGTGGGTCATAATGAATACAGAGGGCAAAGTAAAGGTTCGTCTATTTCTTAGTGTTGCCACAGCATATACAAAGAAACAAACACATGAAAAAGTGCAAACAAGTAGTACACCTGGAATAGATAAGCTTTCC